GCTGATGCTCTTAGGTGAGTTTCTGCAGCTTAACTATGCTATTTATGGTCATTTTTAACCATGACAATGTATATAAATAATTAAAATTTTCCACTGCTGTTCTCTGCTTCACAGTGATGCTCGAAATAAGCTGCAGACAGCTTCACTTCTTTTCTTCCACTTAGAAGATCTAGCCAAAAAAATTGCTAGCATGAGCAAACAGAGCATTGCTTGTTCGTGAGTTCGCTCTGCATTGTTTCGTGAGGTTCTTTTCCTGAAATACTATGGTTGTTCTTTCTTTTCCCCACTTTTTCTTGCTCAATGTTGAAAGAGCAGCATGCTGAATGGGGATCATTGTATTATATTAATATGAATTCAAAATTGTTGGTTTCTTTTAAATGAAATCTATGTTGAAAATTAGATCCTATTATTTAACCATTATCTCTATAATTTAAGAAATTTAAGTTATTTATTTGTTTTAAGTTATTATAATTTAAATTAGATTAGATAAGATTAGTTAGTTATTTTTTTAGATAATTTTATTATGAAAAATCTATTTAAAAATTAGTTTATTTTCAGTTTAATGAGAGATTTTGATTTTCATTCCTTTTTCTTCTTATCGGGAATCCTTGATTTTTAACAATCTATTTATGCATCTTCTTAGTGGTTCTGGTTTCCTTAGACTATGCTGCTACAAATAATCTATAGACAATGTTTGGCCTTTTACTTCCATCTACACCAAAGGGGTCCATTCCCTACTCTGGATTCCCATTTCCAGGGTAGGCTCCTTCAATCTCCCTTCTTATGATCTTGAATTCACTCCATTGCTTGGTAACATTTTGGATGGACAGCCCCATTACTTGGGGTTAAGTGTTACCAATGCCTTGAATGTTGGGATAGCATAACCACCAAAAAAGAAGGGAAACTTTTGAAATTCGTTCGCATTCCGCTCTTTATTTCTCAACATGTTAATTACTCGTGGAAGACGGTGCACAATTGACTGGTGAGAGATGACGAACAGCTGCAAAACAAACCAGCATTAGAGCTTAGTGAGAGATAGGATTTGGTCTCTGGCATGGTACTCCACTTGATGTAAGATATGAATTTATGAAGAATAACTAGGACATGTAGGAGAGAAGAA